AAAGTCAACCTAACAGTACTTCGGTGCTAGATCCACTCACCCCAGAAGATTTTCAAAACAGGCTCATGAAGCGAGAAGTACGAGGTACATATAACGATCAAACTTTACGTTAATAATCTTTCTGCTATTCAAGTTATATATCTCTTGGTCAACTGGGGTGCTTTCACAATACCTAGTCCCAAAGAAAGTGTCCAATGGATGTGCTTCTGAATACGTACGGTTTGAATTGCAGGCTTTGAACGACATCTCTCTGGGACTTTTCACCTGGTAATTTCGTCAGCGGTGAAGAAGCTATGGCGATATGCGCTCGTAAACTTGTAAGCAAAGCTGTATTCCAACGATTGAGGTCTTGCCGACATGAATATTTGAATGAAAAGTTTGTGCTCACTGTCCGAATACAGACTCTGGAGGTTGTCAAACATTAATTCCTTGCTCATGCAGGTAGGTAAAGACATACTGTAGGATGATCAGTATGGTCCTGCCAAATTCCTCTTCTTTATCCTTTGGTTCCCTCTACCGTCTATTCGTGGCCTTTCCATTTCGATGACGGTAAGCACCCTCCGCTACTTGTTCTTGCTCTGACTGACTGTTATGTAGCTACGGCTTAATTTACTTAGCGGGGCGTGGAGCAAGGCGACCAATCCGTCCCCGTTGGTGCTTACCAGGCTTGGACTTGCTTGAACAGGAAATAGTAAGTACTAGTATGTAATCAACCCCCAGTAATCTGTATCTACTCCGTTCGAATAGTATTCCAAGTAATGTCTGTCCCAACTACGTACAGGGAACGAAGAGTATGTATTTTCGGACCCATTGTGTCTATTCCAGATGCGTGCTTCTTCGACATCCGGTCGTTCATCCATCGGTCAAAATACTGACGTTTAACGCTACTATATGGTACTTACTCCATTGAAGTTGGTCCCCTCTGCAGTCAAGCAGTGCGTTGAGTTTGTTATTTCACGACACCAGGGTAATACATTGCCCTAAGGATTGATACTTTCTCTTCGTGCTCAATTTGCCAGCGTGTCCACATTGCAAATGTTGATTGGGTTGGTTCGCATCGTATTGTACGCATTCAATAACAATCAATGTCTGTGCTTGTAATCTTCTCCTATCTGTGATACATGGTTGCGAGGGAACATTGCGCGGAGAAAGTAAGGATCAACGTGGACATGGATCATGTCGTTTTGGGCTCACGTATCGCGGCGCCCTTCAATCTATCCTGAACGAGCTCGTTGAACTCCTCTCTCAAGATTGCCTCTCTCCTCTCCCTCCCCTCCCTTTGCAACTTGAGAATACCACGCTTCTCTTCAGCACTAATGACCTGGTTCTCTTTCCTCATCCGTACCGCGTTCATCCTCCGGTGACGACTGCCACTCATAACGTATCCCGCCTCTTCATACTTGGCAATCTCACCTGATGTCAATCCGATCTCACCACGACGGGGGATGCGCGCTTCTGTGCCTTCCTTCAAGAAAGCAGCCATAGCACTACCTTCACCACGGAGTAAGGCACCACCATAGGACCGTTCGTCGACACGGCGCGGAGGAACAACTTTGGGAAGAGGCTGGGGTCCTAGTTCGTCGGCGGAGTCGTCCTCCTCAGGAGCAGGCATGTGAGATGCGGCGACAGCCACCTCTTTTGATTCACTACGTACGGGGACCGGGGGAGGCGCCATGGGCTCTTTGACAACCCATTCTTCCCCGTCCTCCCTTAAATGACGCGAAGGGCTGCGTCGGGTAAGTTCAGGACTCTTGGTCCGCGCTCTGCTCCTCGAGCGATCTCGCGCACGATAGCCTCGGTCCCGTTCGCGCCTCCTGCGCCTATCGTCTTCACTTTCGTCATCATAACTTTTTCGCCGAGACCGACTCCGAGATCGAGATCGGTACCGGCGCCTCTCGCTCTCTCTTTCTTTCTCCCTGTCCCTCCTCGAACGCTTCCTGTCTTTGCGCTCTCGCCTACGTCGTTCCTCCTCGGAAGATGAGGAGGATTCGGTAGAGGAAGAACGTGCCCTTTTGGACTTTTTACTAGACTTTGAACGTTTTGGCGACCTGAATAGCAAATCAGCTTTCCGAGTAGAAATTGGATACATAGCTGACGTACAAGTCACGGGCAGGAGCTTTTGGCGATGGTGGCCATATATTAACGACTTGGCTTTCCCGTTGTAATCTTCGACTGTACTTGAACTTTAGCAATAATAATCAGCATACATAACGAAAACGCTAGATACCTTTCCATAAAGTCACTGCCACCCGAAGGACCACCAGCATGAAGCGGTCTACTTCCACTATTTCTATTGGGATACATATTTTCTTGCTTCCGCCAGGGAGCTTGACTCTGATCTTCATGTGGAGCAGCCCGTCGATAGTCGTCGTATTCTGGACTCGGTCTTCGTCGTTCACTGCGTCCCTCTCGTTGACTATCCCTTGCATCTTCATCCCGGCCTCGTCTATCTCTTTCCTTGTCCCTCCTCTCCTCTCTCTGTCCCTCTCTGTCATCGCCTCTTGTGCGTCGACTCCTGTTGCGGTCGGGTGTAGGACTCCGGCGCCTTTGTACAGGAGAAGGAGACCTGCGACGTGACAGATAAGCTTCAGGGCGCCCGCCTGACTGAGAAATCAAAGCCATTCGCGAAGGGTGTATGGTCGCCATGTATTCAACTTGTTGACGGTCAAGTCACACCAACTTGGACGCTGATTCTATTTTCGGCATCTTCCGAGGTTCCGACATATGTTCCGGCAATCATTTGTCATCATGTATTCTATCAGAAGAACATAAAATAACGGCCTTATGGTCTAGTAGCATGATTCCTCGTTTGGGTCTTTAAATCGAGGAGGTCACGGGTTCAATTCCCGTTGAGGCCCTGTCTTTTTGAAATCAGGAGATGAAATAGAGGGATGGCAAGAAGAAGCTCGAGCTCGAGCTCACCACTTGGGGCGAAACTTTTTAAAAGGTTTGTCCAATCTTACAATCCAATGTTTAAATGTGCTCAGACTCCGAGTACGCTGTTACTTGCCAATGAAAAACTACAAGGGTTGAAAAGTACGTGAGAAGTGACGTGATATCGACGGGGAGTAGAAATACACAAAATGGTATAATGTCAAGACCCCTCTCTTTTTGAAATCGGAAGATTAAACCATGGAGGGGGGCACAGAGACGGAGAAAAAAATGTCGATTAAAACATCATCATGAGCACGCAATGGGGCATAAGAAAAAATTTAAAAAAGCTTGTCCAGCATTGCGATCTTTGAAATTTCCCAATTTCAAGTTAAACGCGCATTATGCTTTATTGTGTACCAAGGTTACAGTTAGGCAGTATAATAGGAATATCACAAGTTACAATATTTAAACAGGAATAAAAATACATTAGTGTGGCGCATGTATCACCGTGAATAGAAGTTTTTATGAACTTGAATGGAGCACTTTTACTTCATATTCGCCTTCATTTCCTCAGTGGGGAACTTGGAAAATACATCCTTCAATTTGTCTAGCGGTGCTGCCAAGAATCCGGCTAGGTTCTCAAAAGGTGGCTTGTCGGGAGCTGACGGATGTGCCCTTTTAAGCAACGCAGGTTACTCTCGCGGACTGGACCCTGACGAGCTGGTATAACGAACCTAGTGGGAGCAAACTGTTTGGTTCTCGCAAATCTTGAGGCGGCATCCAAACTGCCGTCCTCGCCAAGGGCAGACTCAAGGTCGGGCAAATCATTTTTTTCTTCATCCGCAATATGGTGGCGCAAATCGGCCATAATAGATTCGAGCAAATTCGCGTGATTCTTAGAACCGACAGTCATCGACTCAAGATCGTACAACTGCTTTTTCACCGCCTAGGCAACATTAATGCATGTTGAAATGCGAGTCATCACAATCATACCATGTGGTCCGCACGATCCTTATCAGCAAGCTTGGCACCCTTTTCGCCGAGACATTGCTCCATGAGGGGGTAAACTACAATTTCCTCACCTACAGCATGTCGTGCAACCTCCCAACTTAGTTGCCGAGCCCACCGCTCCTGCGCATCGATGTTTCCAGATGCTTTAACAAACTGATCGTAATAGTCGTTGATCTGATGAAAGAAATCCAGCGCCACGGTGAAAATATACGAAAAGTTGCAATACCTCTTGGTGATCGTGTTTGATCGCCTGGATGAGAGTCTGCTGCTTGTGAGAAGCCATAGTGCGGGCGAACAGTAACGCTTGAGGAGAAATACGGTTTGTCCCGAGAGTGTGGCGAATAATACGGGGTAGAGACTGCATTTATACGAAGGAAGAAGACAAACTGTCTGAAGAACGAATGACGATACAAAAGTCATAGATGAGTCCATGATGCAATGGTGACACGATCGAGGTGTCATAAAGTAGGAACAAATCTCTTGAGGAAAAGTTCTGACCATTGCCTGAATAACTTACAACGACCAGTCTAGCTGAACTTTTCGTCACATCTAGTTCTGATATGAACATGAAGACAGTCTTCGCATTGAACCCAATTCTTCCTCGAGCAATTCGAAGCTAACGCCACTCTGATAATCTGCACGTGTGAACATGACACGCGTCATAGTTGTGAAACATCACCTGAAGCAACACAAGTTCACCCATTCAGAGGTAACTTGAGTGATTCAGAAGAATCACAAGATTGTTCCACTTATGTTTCTCTTCCCAAATGAACCTACGTAAGAGTATACTTAGACCTATCAGAAACCTATGACAAGTCAACATACCAAAGTTTTGGATTGTAGACAATATCAGAGGATTTTGGTGGTCAACGAGATCAATGAGTTTCAAATCCGTAACATTTACTGCAGCCCTGATAAATACGTCGTACATGCGATAAACAAAGTTCATTTTATTGACGTCTGATGGTCTCACAGTTCGTCACGCTCATCCTCTTGCCTGTTAATAGCAATCATTTCCGTTTCGAACACAAGTGTGGCACCAGGAGGAATGACGCCACCAGCACCCCGGGCACCTAAATAACAGGGATACAATGCTGAAACTCACAGTGGGAGGTCGGAATGTGGGTACGCACCATACCCCAACTCGGGAGGAATAATGAGTTTACGCTTCTCTTTAACACACATGTCAATCAGTCCCTGGTCCCAGCCTTTGATGACTTGGCCAATGCCCACTGCAAAAAATCGGGTGTCAATACAATCAGACTGAGCATCATCACTACAATGACATACGCGTAATTCCTAGAGGCGCGTTGCGGTCGTGGCTAAAGAAATCAAGGGTGAAGACCATGGTATGTAGAGCATTATTGACACGAACCTGGAGTCGAATTTCTTTCCTGTATCAAACAGCGAACCTGTCTATAAACCGAAATAAAGCTCCAGAGTCCGAATGGAACCAAGCAAGATGGGTACGCACGTAATGGACCTGAATTTGGTCTCCCTTCTGAGCACGAATCGTGCACTCCTCAGGCTTGTACGTCGTCTCAATAACAAGCTCTGTAGGAGGCTCTGCATCAGCCGCATAGGCAGCAGCAGCGAGAAGGAAAGGTGCCCATTGCAAGAGTCTCATGGCTGTCACGGTCTTGAGAGCAAGCGTTCGTAAGAATCACCCATGACACGAATATCAACGTGTCGGGTCCAGGCCCACGGCGCCCCGGCCCGTTCTAAGTCCCTTCGGCAGTCGTTCGGCAGTGTCCGCCGGAAGTAAACAACAACTATACAGTCGGTGCAAGCCGGTGAACCTTATTTTTTCTATCCGTCCGACACCACCGACACCACCGCCGCCGCCGACGATGGTATGCTCCCTTTTGCTCAAGATGCGAGTGAACCGATGTTTGACGTGATTTAGCCCTCCCAGAAGACCTTCCGCACCAAAAGAATTCTCGCCAAGGCAGGACGGCAAAACAGGTGGGTTTCACACAACTTGAACCATGTTGGAGATATCGATTTATGGTTCAATGAAGGCCAATCCCCCAGTGGTTCCGCCTCAAGACGGACACTAAAATCCAGGTTTGCAGGCCATTGGTCGGGGTAATTGGGGGATAATTTACTGATTTTCTTGTCTGTACCCGCAGTATAACGCTAAGCGCCGCCACTGGAGAAGGACCAAGTTGAACATCTAAGCGTTAGATGCCTTGTAGAAGAGGGGGAGGAGTCATTACGGTTGTGTGTAGAGAACAGGGGAGAGAGCGCACCAGCAGGCAGCCATGTTTTCGTCCAGACATTATGACGCGCATATGAATATGGTTCCCTCAGCTTTCGCATCTGGTTTCCGTGAGATGGGACAGTCTCGGAAGGGCATCGTGGATGGCCGAGTTATCGATCGTTTTACCTTCACCTTCTTCGTCAACGGTCCTTCTAATTCAGTCTCATTATGCACTGACGTGCGATGTTCTGCGTTTGCAACTGTAGCTTAAAATCTGATCTCACAGGCGGACTTCTTCGTATGCCATTGCAAGGAGTGCAATTCAACGTATGTTAGACTCAATTTGAATCCCAAGAGCCCGTAATGGAGGCAAGCACTTGCAGTTGAATCTAAGTGGGGCTGTCGACATCAGCTTCGATATATCGAGGGTGAGCTGGAAATCTCCGTCTCATCCCATCCTTGTCACATCGCATATATAATTTGACTTTGATTCATAGCTTCTCACCATGTAGAAGCCACTCCCACACCCGTGCCTTGTTCTCCTGGCTCGTACCCCAGCATTAAAGAATCAACTCGACCGACTGCGCCACATACTCTGATTGAACCACAAACACTATTCGAACAAAGCATCACACCATAGTCCTTTTGTACTCCAACGCGCTTGAGCTTTCGGTGAGTGTACGAGTAAGTGACGAACAATCAATTAGGGGTTATAATAACGACGCGGAATGCGGAACCACGTGGGTTCCACAGTAGTGACTTATCACGAAACAAGGTTTAAGCATCCCTGATTGTCAAGCAATAGGCATTCCGCAATTAACACCGTGATGAGAGAGTCAAAGGTCACAAGACAAGAGGATGTAGTAAGAAGATTGCTACCGAGAACCAAACCAATGGTCTTCCTTTGCGGAATACCGAGAAAGACGCGCTAGATATAAGACGGAAAGACAGACATCTATAGTCATTTCCAAATTGGTGGACATGGTATGACGTGTGATTTTAGGTTGTGTACAGATTACACTAGGTAATGAACTGGAACTAGAATACATATGTAAAATGTGTAATGCATGTGATACGAAACCATCCACCAATGCGTAAAAGGCGAAAAGTTGAAAGAAAAGAGAGATAAACCTCTCACAGAGCCGCCTTCTGGTACTTGGGATCAACTCCGTCCGCAATAGCCAAATAAGGCATCAAGTCGCTCGTCAAAAACTCGCTTGGCCACTGCTTCCTCACCTGCGCCTTCAAGTACTCCGCCGCAGCATCCACATTCTCCTGCTTGACACCAGCTACAATCTTCTTGATACCAGGAGCGAGCTCCTTTACCAACGAGTCAATGTAGTCAAGCGTGATAGGGAGCCCGTTGTCAAGCCGCGAGCCGTAATGCACCCACTGCCACAGCTGGACACGCGTGATCTCAGCGGTCGCAGCGTCCTCCATGAGGTAGTTGAGCGGGATACACCCGTTCCCTCCGATCCACGCAGCGGTATACGCAAGGGACGTCGACACGTTCTCGCGTACACCCTCTTCGGTGATCTTTCCTGGAACCTTGGTGTTCAACAGATCCGCGGCAGCGACCTTGACATCCTGGCGAAGAACGTGATACTGGTTGGGGCCAAGCATGTTCTCGTCAAAGATCTGACGAGCGATTTGATTGATAAGCGGGTGCGCGATCCATGTGCCGTCGTGGCCTGCAGTAACCTCGCGGAGCTTGTCCGCTCGGACCTTTGCCATTGCGACTTCGTTCGCCTTGGCGTCATCCTTGATGGG